GTATTGGACTGGAAGCTAGAGCCTAACATTACTAATGGAGGCTCCCATCATTACGGTCAGACTGGGATAATGACTGAATGTTTATGGCGTAATATATACAGAGTGAAGTACTTGGGTATGAATGATGCTGATGAGTTCTTTATTCCGGTACAACATAAGACAATATCGGAGCTGATGTCCGATATTGATAAAGCTCCTACCGCAACTTTCGGTTTTCCGAACTTCATGATGAAAGGGAATGAGATGCTGCCAAAAGTAGCTAAAGCGTTGAGTTCAAACAGCTGCTCTGAGATAAAGAATGACTCCCTCCCTATTTATTACACAAGGAGCAAAGGCTGTGTCGTGAGAGGCTGGTACATTCAAAAGGTTATCTTCCGTCCTGAAGCCATTTATATCCCTTGGGTCCATAGCATCATCAATCGGCAGTGGCGGATGGCAGATTACAGGGAAGAGCTTGTGGTACCAGAGGATAAAGGATTGTCCTATCATTTCAGAAATAAGTTTTATAATCGAAAGGATAAAGCCAGGCAATGTTCTACTCCAGATTATGAGGCTACAGTGATTGAGAGGTATATCAAGGCAGTGTCTGGCTGTGATATTTAATGTATTGCATCATGCTGATGAGTAATTAACTACTATTATTAGAACTATTTCATAAACCCTTGATCATTATTACATTTTATTATTATTCATGTAGTAATATTTATGGATCTTAGTTTGCTCCCCAATGATGCAAGTATTAATCTACTAAAGTGATATCTGCAGCAGTAGCCTGATTATCAATATTATTATTATTATTATTATTATTATTATTATTATTATTATTATTATTATTATTATTATTATTATTATTATTATTATTATTATTATTATTATTATTATTATTATTAACTTTACAATGCACACAACAATTGGAAGATAGAATGCATGAGAGAAAGGGCAGAGGAAACATTGAAGGTCTAACCTGGAAGTTGCCACTATGCTGGTGTATATTTTTAATTTTGGAGCCAATTTTTACAAAAAACATGGGTCATTTACTATGTTGGCTCTAGTACTTGGCAAGTACTAGAGCCAACATACTACTTGGCAAATTGTTTCTCAAGGAGATTGTCAGATTGATAACGATTAATAACTAAAATTTATATTTAGCCACGCCCAGAAATTAGCAGCAAAACAAAATGGCGCTGTTAACTAAGATAGTTCTGGTCGGAATTGTTGGCTTCCTATTGCTGCAGCTAGCCCTGTACGATACTGCAGGCCTTGGTTAGTATAAAAAAAGTAAGAGATAGACCCGCTAAAAGGTGCTAAGACTAACGTTTACTGGCTTTTTCTTAATTACATTTTAAAGGTTTTTCACAGTTCAGTTGTGACTAAAGACAATGCCTCCTCAGTGCAGCATCTTGATAATGAGCTGTCTTTTACTCAAGAGACACTAGTGGAACCAGTTGCTTCACGTCCCGCTATTACAGTATAAGTGGATTTATTTAATTAATTCCATTATGCACTGTGTACTGAAATTGGATTACTGTTTGTTAGGGTTGATTAACTTGTGCATGTACAGACAGTATAGTAATATGATGACATAAAGC